TGCTGGTTCTTCCCCCACAGGTACAGCACCTTGCACTTGTCAGTGTTGAAACCCATCCTGTTCTCATCTGCCCACCCCTGTAACCTGTCTAGGTCCAATTGCAGCCTATTCCTCCCTTCTAGCGTGCCCACATCCCCCCACATCTTAGTGTCGTCTGCGAACTTGAACAAGGTGCTTTCTACCCCCTCGTCCAAGTTGCTGATGAAGATGTTGAACAGTGCGGGCCTGAGGACCGAGCCCTGGGGGACCCCACTGCCCACACCCCTCCAGGTCTAAAATGACCCACCCACCACCACTCTCTGGGTGCAGCCCTCCAGCTAGTTAGTGACCCATTTGAAATCACATGGTGAAGCGATTCTCAACCATGCTGCTACAGCACCTTGGAGTGCTGCAAGATCCTTTTAAGGGTGCTGCAGGATGCTATGCAATATTAGCAGTGAGGTGTGCAAACACCTACACGTGATTCCCAAGATCAACCCAGAGATTTCAACAGGGTCAAAACCATTCTGTCCTGTCGTGCGCTTTCTGAGTTCTTCACCACGCAAGACTCAATCTATTATTTTTCCATAGTCAAAAAATGAGCGAAAGCCAAGAATTGGCATCTGAACTACCCTGGCCAAGAGCAGCAGAACAGATCATTAAAACCAGACTCCTCCCAAGGCCCCAGCCTTAATTCTTCTCAGGCGAGGGGGACAAGGAGTATCTTGTACAGAGTGTGGGCTGCATGGTGTTTTCTTCTGGCCTACTTATGGAGAGCAGAGAGGAAATAAGCCAATGTCTGCAGAGACAGTGAAGAACAGGAAGAGGCTAATGATCTCACCCCTATTTTAATTAGTGTTATTGCTGCTTATTTTTTACTGTGCAAAATGCTCTGGCACTTACGTGACCAGGGAAGGGGCTGGAAACCTTCCTGAGTGCAGAGCCCAGATCCTCCTGCAGACATGTCCCATCTTGCCTCTTCAACCACCTGAGAAATTCTTTGCAGGTGACATCTTTTATTTTTTAAAAGGAGCTAATTGCCATGAGCTGCTGCTAGACATCTGAAAAAGAAGGGGAAGTGGGATGGGAAAGTG